AAAAAAAAAAGAAATGTGTTTTCCAGAATTCTTCGTGAGGCAGGCAGACAGGTTGCGTGACTTTGGAAAACTTCTTAATTGCTTTGAGCCTCTGTTTCCCCAGCTGCAGAATGGTATCATAACAAAAGCACCTTCCATACAGAGTCACTGTGAAGGTTAAATGCACTGATCCCTGAGATTAGCACTGTGCCTGGCACATGAGTTCAATAAATAGCCACTCTGGGGGCGCCTGGGTGGCGCAGTCGGTTAAGCGTCCGACTTCAGCCAGGTCACGATCTCGCAGTCCGTGAGTTCGAGCCCCGCGTCAGGCTCTGGGCTGATGGCTCAGAGCCTGGAGCCTGTTTCCGATTCTGTGTCTCCCTCTCTCTCTGCCCCTCCCCCGTTCATGCTCTGTCTCTCTCTGTCCCAAAAATAAATAAACGTTGAAAAAAAAAATTAAAAAAAAAAAAAAAAGATTTTATTCTCTGGAGCTTTCCCAATATACAGTCAAATCATGTGCAAATAATAATTTCACCTCTGTTTTTCTAGTAGTTAATATTAGAATATATTTGGCCTGTGCACATTTTATCATCTCTGTTTACCGTTATCAGAACCGCCCCAGTGTCTGCTATAGGTTCCACATACTGTGAGTGGCCAAAACCCTACCTGGAACCTGCCTGAGAGAACACAATCTCTTCACTAATAGCAGTTACCATCTTTGGGTTTCTTGTCAATACAAAACCTTATACATAGGACACACCCAAAGTGTGCTTTTTAAATGAAAATCAAATACAAGTAGGTTAAAAGAGGAAACAAAGAACACTGAAATATTTCTGAATTACAAATCTGTTGGAGGACTGTGGGTTCAGTTTTCTTTCTGGTTCTTTTCCACACGGCCAGGGGTCTCTCTGCCGCTCTCCAGACTCCATGTGGTGGAGTGGTTCACACCTGGTCATCCTACCTCTGCTGGCTGCTAAGACCTTTGTAGTGTTGAACGAGTCGCTCAGCCTCTCTAAAGTCTCAGTTTCCTCTCTGGTAGACTGGGAATTACACTTAATGGTTATTATAAAGATAGAAAAGGTAATGTGTGTAGAGCACACCACTTGATAGGTAGGAAGTCCTCAGTAAATGGTAAGCTACTGTTAATTCTGATTCATGCCTCCGATGAATCTTTTTGGCTGCCAGATTTCAACTGAAGGTGTAGGTCAGAATAACTCCTCCTTCATGTTAGCGCTCACGGGCAGTGCTGTAAGTTCTAGCCCAAGGCCCCTCCTCGTACCCACTGCTGCTGCCCACCACACTTGTTCTTGAATCACTGCTGCTACAGTGAGCTTTTCCAAACCGAATTTGGAGTATTTATTTATTTTCCCTGCTTAAATTGTATGGCCTCCCGTGTGCAGGAAAAAGTCAAGCTCCTTAGACAGGCTTATGAGAGCTGACCTATCTCTCCATTCAGGTTACCTGCAGCCCTCCTGGCCTCTCACCCATTTCCCAAGAGGTGCTCCTGGTGGCCCTTTTCTGGGCTGGTGTGGTTTGTGGACACGCTGATTTCTCCCTGTCTTTTGCCCAGAGTGTCCTCTGTCTTCCCTCCAGTGCTCCAGACTGCCTGGTGAACTCCTACTCCATCTTCAAAGCCCTAAACTGGGCTCATTGACAATGCACCCAAGGAGAGCCAGCCACTGCTGTCCTGAGTTAGACCACGTGCATCTTGATTATAAGATGCGAGGCTTATCCGACCATAGCTTTAGGCTGAGCCAGCTAACTGTTGTTCTGTGTGTTGATCATTTGGTTATTTATCTACTCTTACTGGACTTTGAGTTCCCTGAAGGTAAGAACAGTAGCTTCCTCTCTTTTTATTTCCATAGCCTGGTCCCAGGGCCCAACGCCTGTTGGAGCCTCCGTAAATGCCTGGTGACTTGCTTTGGGGAGTCCAGGTGGCAGTGATGCTGGTGGGATTGGCCAGGATGGGCTGTGGGTGCATACATGAGAGCAAGAACATATCACCTGTTCTTCTCCAGGTGCTGTCTCTAATCCTGAGTTCTTCAATTATGGGGTGGAAGCATACGAAGCCTGTAAAAAGGGGGCTCTGACCAGTGACATAATTGACGAGCAGAAAAAGGTTCAGGAAGCTGATCTAGTGATATTTCAGGTTTGTGTTTTGTCTAATTATTATAATGAATTAGAGTCCTTCTATGTACAAGCTCTTTCCAGGTATGGAGTTTCACACTCCTGGAAATGGTATTAATGTTTTTAGCACATTCACACACTTATTTATGTCTAATTGGGTAAGGACATTCATGTAGCCACTATTGGTCACTCAAAATCTCGACTCCCAAGTAAATAGTAATTTCCCGTTAGCCCAGTGGCCCAAGAAATGCCTGCATCATGCAGGTGGCGCTGCCTTCATTCCCTTCTGATGCCCACCTTACACGTGCAGAGGCTGCGTGAAAACAAGATTTGTCTACATGCGTGTTTGTCAAGGTAGTTCAAGCCAAATGCAAGTCCTGCCTTAAACATCCTGATTATTAAGAGGAAAATCTTTTAGTTCCTTCCTGTCACTGGTTGCCTCACCTACCCACTTTCCATGTATCACTCACAAACTGTCCCCAAGCCATGACTCACTGCAGACGGAGCCAGGACACTGCTTCTGTGGGCTCTCACTCGTCAAGGCTGCTGCCCGCCACAGCCTGACAGGCATGCACTCGTGGAGCTCACCAAGAGCCTGGCAGCAAAATAAACCTGTGCTTTCCTGGAGCTGTTGGGTTGACAGAAATCCAAGTCCACTAGAAAGAAGGAATTTATTCTAAGGGCCCTGGTCATTCGGGTCTCCTGGAACTCAGGGACAGGCAGGCCAGCTGGGCTTCAGGGGTGGTGAAACTGGGTGCTGGGACCCCTCTGGCCTTTCCCTCTGATTCTCATCTGCTGTTGTCTGCATGCCGCCTCTGTTCTCCTCTCTCACTGCACATCGGGACTGAGGTCTCTAGATCCAGAATCTCCAAGATGGATCTGATTGGCCCAAATTGTCTCTGTTAACCCTGCTTGAGGGCGAGGAGCAGGCGGGAGAACAAGACCACCATGTGAGGGTGAGGGGCAGGGATGTGATCAGTTTGCAGGTGAAACAGCATGTCATTTATAAAAATCACCCTGCACATATGGGAGGAGGGGATGCTTTACCTGTCCCCTTCCGCCCTGCCCAGACTGCCCCCATCCACCCCTTTCTGGCACCGTCCCTTTACTGGGCAACCTGGAGCTGCTAATCTTGTCAAAGTGCAAGATGTTCTTCTATCCTAATTGCATATGGCTGGGTCCCAGTGCCATACACCTTGGTTGCCATGTGCTTTAGCTTCCAGAGTAATAGCCTTGCCAGGACAGGAGGGCTCTATCACAACTGGCTGAGCAGTCTGGGCACATGGACTAGGCGGAACCATACTTGGCTCTCGCTCTTCTCTTCCTATCTCCCTGGAATCGGGTAACCACGCAGAGCCCGTCTCCCCTCCCCCGTCTCCTCCTCCACTCCTGTAGCTGGTTAGCTAAAGCAGGCCAGAGCTTGTTCTTTCTGTGCTGGTCTTTCTTTTTCCCTACTGCATTTCACAGCTCTTTTCCCTCTGCTTTTCCTCTTTCCTGATAGTTTGCCCAGAGGGTCTCCATTGTCATTCAACACCGAAAAAATTTCATTCATCACTACTGCTTAGTCATGATCTCAACTCCCCTTCACTCAGCATTGACTCTGTTCAGAGCACTGTAATGAGTCATTGAATCCTTCCCACAATGCTGTGAGCTAGTAACTTGTACTAGCCCTATTTGCCGATCAGGAAAAGGAGGCACAGAGAGGTTAAGTAACATGTCAGCATCACACAGCAGTGGGCTATGGAGCTTAAATTTCAATGTCAACTCCTGTGTTAGACTTATAGCAAAAGTGCATGAAGCATGGGCTTCCTTCTGCCTTTGGTAACAGATTATTATCTGTGTTCATCTCCTTTCACTGATAATGATATTGGATATAGTGTTAGGGCTTCCATGAGGACCAGAGAGGATTTTAGGGACATCTTACCACTGGTGTGTAGAATCTAAGGATAAAGCTTTAATTTGTATCAAAATCCGAAGCTTCTCAGAACTTAACTCAGCGTGACTCCTAAATGGCAGCAATTCACCCCCAGCACATAAAGGGACAAACTCTTCTCCACACCCTTCCTCTTGTGCCCCCTGATTGGGGCTGCCACTCAGCTGCCACAGAGCGAGTGTCCATCAGCGCCCCAGTGCCTCCCCACCTGCTTAGGGACCAGCCCAAGGGTCTGTCCCTGGGGAGGCAGAGCCACCTGTTAACAGCAACCAGGACCCTTGTCAGCTCTGGCCCACTCCACCCCACCATCATCCTGTCCACACTGGGTGCGTCAGAGTGAAAGGGAAGAAACACCCTGCCTGTGCTGCCCTTTTACTACACTCGCCTGCCCAGCCATCTGGGAAGAGGAAGACAGTGGGGTTCCTTCTGAAGCACCAAATATGAAGCCTGAGACTGCCCGCAGCATTCGTTTCTCCCCGTGTTGTGTCCCCAGTTCCCGCTGTACTGGTTCAGCATGCCGGCTATCCTGAAGGGCTGGATGGACAGGGTGCTGTGCCAGGGGTTTGCCTTCGACATCCCAGGATTCTATGATTCCGGTTTCCTCAAGGTATGTACTCCGGGATGAGGATCACTGTGTACTGCTGGGGGCGTGTCTCATCAGGTTCTATTTCTAGTTTGCTTTTTTGGTAAATAAACACTGATTGAGCACCAAGTATGTGCAAAACCCTATATCCTGTACCTGGGTAAGAAAAGTGAAGTTTGTGAAGTCACAGGGCTTCATCTAGTGAGGGGTACATGTGTGGCCAAGAAGGGCCTGGAATTAGTGTGGCAGGAGGGCTGGAGGACTGCACGGTGGTCAGCTCTGGCTCAGGAGAGGGCGTCTTCTCTGTGCTGCAGAGGTGAGCCATGACCTCACACCAGTTCACCTCTCTGAGCTTCACATTCGTACCACAAAAAACAAGATGATGTAACACCCATGTTACAGGGTGAGGATTGCATGGAACCTGGTAGATGCACAGTGCACGGTAGCTATGAATTTCATACTAAATAATTTACTGAAATTGATGTTTTAAATTCTAAAAGCCTCAGAAGATGCTTTTATAAGTGTTTATAAAGAAAACCTTGAGTCACAAAGATTCATCTTAGTTGGGGAAATAGTGCACCATTTAGTGAATGGTCCTGTAGGTCAGGGACCTCTATGTCAGGGTCCTGTGTGCCAGGATCCCTTGTGTCAGGGCCCCAAGTGTCAGGGTCCTGTCTGTCAGGGACCTCACTCGCCCTCACAGCAGCCCCTGATGTTGGCAGGTGGGCCTTACCCACCTCCCACACGGTGTCCCAGGCCTGCTCTCTACCAGAAGTCAGGTCATATCCAAGCCCTGTGTCCATATGGTCCATTCCATCCCTGTTGGACATGGTTGCCACTTGTGGCTGGGCTTGGCAGATGAGAATGTTATCATTTGTCCATCCCTGCAGGGAACTTACCTCAGGCTTTCCCTCCCAGTGGTTATGAACCTTGGTGCTGGGGTCACATTTGTCTTCTCTGGAGGCCAGACAAATGCATTTGCTTTCTCTTCCACAGAATAAGTTGGCCCTCCTTTCATTAACCACGGGGGGCACAGCCGAGATGTACATGAAAACTGGAGTCAGCGGAGATTATCGATACTTCCTATGGCCCCTCCAGGTACCTGCTGCACCCCCACTCCCCTCCGCTCCCCCTACAGCTCCCCCAGATGTAAAATAAGATGTGATGTAAGCCTGAAACCTGGACCATTTTATCTACCACCTGAATACAAGAAGTTACAACATTTTGCCCTTTTCAGTTTCTTACTTAGCACTGAAAAAGTTGGCCCGTGGGGAAAACACGTGATGATAGCCTTTGATAATGTTGGGTAGAAGCTAAGCGAGACCTGGTTAGCTCATGTCTGCTCTATGGTAAATAGAACCATCCCAAGGTGGCCCTGTGTGTGTGCAGCGCACCGGATGGTGGGGGGTGGGTAGCTGTCCACACTGACTGGCAGTGCATTGTGAAGGGGGCATCAACCTTGAACACAGGCAAGAGGTGCCCCAGGGCCAGCATTCCAGACAGCCTCACACCCACCACAAGTGATGGGTCCGTGAAGCCGGGGGCTGTGCCCTATCCTCAGAGCCACACCCTTCTCCAGGTTTCCAGGACTCTGGGCCTGCCCTCCCAGGTAGACATCATCCTGCCTCCACATACCTCTGGGCGATCTGTGAAGGCGAAGGCAGGGGGCAAAGCATAAGCAGATGAGGCACAGAGCTGGGGTGAGGAGGAAGAGAGCAGGCTCTGGGTCAGGTGGCTACATCCTGGCTCTGAGCTCCCAGGAGACTGAGAAACCTAGAATGCAAACCATTCTTCCAGGATGTTATGAAGGGACCTTTGTCCCTTTGTCCAGGGAGGAGGAGATCACATATTCAGCAGTTTGCAAGCTTACTTTAAAAATGTAGACAGGCATGTAGGCCCCTCATCCCCTGACCTACCCCTGATAGGGCAAGTCTGGACAAAGGTAGGGTTTTAAGGGAAGGAATGCAGAGGGGGGAGAGTGATATTTCTAGAAAAAAGTTGTCTTCTTTGAAAGACAGGATAGTGATTCCACTTAGTGATGCTTTGCTGAAGAAAGAGAGAACTTAAGGCCTAAACTCTCTAATCCACAGGTCAACTGGTCTCTTAGAGGTTATTAGCCAAGCTTAAATTCTTCTTGTTTTTAAAAAATCTTTGTATATGTTTTCTCAGTTTTCAAAAGTACATATTATGAAAAAAAAGATGAGACTATAAAATATAAAACAGAACATCCTCTTAATCCACCTCTTAAAAATAATTTCTTTTAATAATTTGATGTATTTCTTTATGGCCCATGCATATTTTTATATGTATGCTTTTTATTATTAGGGTTATTATGCTTATGTCTTTTACATAAATGGTATACTACAAATACTGCTGCAAATTTCTCATTTTTATTTAACACATATCTCGAGCAACCATCCATGATTATACACTATAGCTAGAATAATGTCACATCATTCTAGAATAATCCATTGTATGACTGTACCGTAATTTGCCTAATCAATCAAAACCATAAAGTTTACTATCGGAGTCAGAAGCAAAGATTACAGATTAACCTCAATTAGGATTTGAAACTTCCAACTGTCCACCAAAGTTCTTCACATCACTTGTAAAGGCCCACGTTGTAAGGTTATAGGGCAGCTCAGTTGTTTTCGGCTACCTGATAGTATTAAGTTGTTCTAATATTTTTTGAAGGCTTGTTTCAGGCCATCAACCCCCCACCTCCCACCCCGCCTTTGATTATTTAACTGAATGATACGTAAAGGGTGTCTTCTAATCACTTCCTTGCTTTCTTTGTGGCTGTAGCATGGTGCCTTGCACTTCTGTGGATTTAAAGTCCTTGCCCCTCAGATCAGTTTTGCTCCCGAGATTGCATCAGAAGAAGAGAGAAAGGCGATGGTGGCCTCCTGGGCCCAGAGGCTGAAAACCATCTGGGAGGAAGAGCCCATCGACTGCACGCCTCCGTGGTACTTCGGGCAGTAATGCTTCGTGCCACGTCCACATCACAGGAGCAGCACACGGGGAGCTGCAGGCATATACACAGGGAGCAGGGTCCTGTAATAAAACAAGGTCACAACCAAGCGAACTGGATGTATTGAAAGACGGGCAGGACCGAGTGTCTTAGCCAGATCTAGCATTTCAGCCATCAGCAGGCTGTACTTGGGGGTGCTCTCATGGATGACATTATTCACCCAGGCTTGCTTTTCTTTGCCAGTAGCTTTCCATCTCCCTGCTTTCGACCTTCATGGGTATTCTTGTGTTCAAACAGTTCTCCTGGAATGGCATAGTTTTTTTTTTTTTTAATTTCATAACTCAACTTGGAAATTTCTATTTTTTCATAGGAAAGTTTAATCTTTCATAGCTAGTGTTTTAGTGCTGCGTTTGGACTTATTTCTTCCTTTTTTTTTTTTTTTCTTTTTACTTGCATGCATGATGGCTATGAAGTTTTCACTGAACAGCTGTTTCACATGCATTTAAAATCATTGAGTGCAGGTTACAATGAAAATCTCCAAGGAGCGCTCTGGGTGACTCAGTCAGTTAAGCGTCCGACTCTTGATTACGGCTCAGGTCATGATCTCATGGTTTGTGGGATCGAGCCCCAAGTTGGGCTCTGCACTGGCAGTGTGGAGCCTGCTTGGGATCCTCTCTCTCTCTCTGCCCCTCTCTTGTTCTCTCTCTCTCTTTCTGTCTAAATAAACTTAAAGGGAAAAAAAAAGAAAATCTCCAGGTGTCACTCTAAGCACCCTACCCCTGTGCACGTGTTCATGTAACACTACTAGTGATTACCCTGAAGCGTAGGCACATGTAACTGGAGGGGTCTCCCTAAAAGCAAGTTTAAGAGATTAAATCTCTTCCTCACTTCTGAGGACCGAGCTACTGCCTATGCACAGGGGCCCTCCTTCCTTAGCGTCCCCAGTCCCACCCACAGTCCCCACATCAGACTCCCCACACCACTCCTCACCGGACTCTCCTCATCACACTCCTTGTTGGCACCCTCATCTTTGAGCAGCCTGTCACCTGCTCCGCCTCTTTCTTCCTCAGTATCTTCAGATCGTTTTCCATCTGCATTTTCTTCTTCTTGTTTCCGTCTGGTCCATCATCAACCAAATTCTCTGTGTGTGTCTCCTTTCCATCTGAATCTTCACACACAGCCTTCCCCACCAACCACTCAGAGCCGCCATCCCCAGATTCTCATTTCTCAGGATGGTTCCTTCCTAATTCCTTTTCAACACCATTTTCTGCTCGTTATTTCTTGGAGTCTTCCTCAAAGCCCTTTTCAGAGCAATCTTCACATTCTCTTTCCAAGACGTCTTACTCTTCAGTTTGCTTTTCAGGGTTGCCTGCAGACTTTTTTGTTTTTTTCTCTTCAGAGTCTTTTTTGAAGGTCTTCTTTCAAAACTGTTCTCTTCAGACTTCTGAAACTGCCTTCTGCAGACTTTTTGGGGGCCATGTTTTTTAGCATCTTTTTCGGAAGCATCTTCAAAATCTCTCCCATCTTCCCATTTTTCGAATATCTTTCCATGGATAGATTCTTCAAATGCCATGTTAGTTGTGGCTTCTTGAGTATTCATCCTGGATGTGCTAGGGTGCTCTGGAAAAGCCTTACCTTAGAAGGCCTTGCTTTTTGAAGCAAAGGTAGTATTTGAACATTGAACACCTCTGTAGGCCTCAGGATATGGAAGGAAGACTTCCACAAAGCTGTTCTGCTCTTACACTTGGGGTCTTCTCAGCCTGGTCATTTATAGCCCCACCCCATGTCTGTATAGGAATCCCATGGGTCTTCTCAGCCTGGCCATCTGTAGCCCCATCCCATGTTTAGACAGGAGTCCTGTGACCATCACACCACCTTCCATCGAAGGTTTGAGTACAAAGATAGCTTCCTCAAAGACACCGAGGTTATGCCATCTGGTGTCTTTTAAAGAGAAGGAGATTCCTGATTGACCCAAGCTTTGAACTCTCTCAAAGGTTTTCTCTGACCCTGATCAGCACCAATGGACCATCCTCAAAATCCATAGGATGAAACACTTCGGTGATGACCATTCCCTCATGGGGCACTAAGGATGTTCCAGCAGTCCAGGTGCTTTTATTCCAGAACCAGATCCTTCCTGTGGGGCTTGCACCTCTTCCTTTCTGATGCCTCATATTCCCCTCCAGTTGAAACTTAGCTACCTCAATATGTGATTTCTACCTTCTAATTTCATCTTCATGCAAAAGCATTGCACAATCCAGATTCCCTCTTCAAATAACTGCAAAGCCCATCTGCTTTAAGATTTCCTTGTTATCTTTGTAAAACTTGACCATAAAGTCTCTCTGAAGATCTCAGAATCATGCCAAGTCAGAAGTTGTATAAATGCCTCCACCATAATGTCTGTAGGCAAACCAGTTGCATTTATATTTGTAGCTCTGTCTTCTACATGAAGGCTTTCTTTTTTTCTCTCCTTTTTGAGATTGGTGGATTGGGGGTGTTTCTCTGCAGAGGTTTTTTTAGCATTGGTGGCAGATTTGCCATCATTGAGAAACCATCATTAGCCTGATATGCAGGCATGAAGTCTCCAGTGATCTGAAACCAAGCCTTCTTGCCTGCAAGGATGTCAGCCAGCTGCTCCTCGAAAGGCTGGGTTTCTCCACTGGAATTCTTGGTGTCTCTGTATAGTTCTCAAATTTGCAATTGCTCATTTGCAGATTCCTCATCCAAGCACAGCTGACCCTTGAACAACACAGGTTTGAACTGCACAGTTCCTCTTACACGTGGATTTTGTTCAATAAATATACTGGAAAAATTTTTGGAGATTTACAACAATTTGAGAAAACTCACAGATGAACTGTGTAGCCTAGACCTACTGAAAAAAAATTTTTTGAAGTGATATTGTTTATTCTTTCTATTTTAAAATTTATATCCAAGTTAGTTAGCATATAGTGCAACAATGATTTCCGGAGTAGATTCCTTAATGCCCCTTACCCATTTAGCCAATTCCCCCCTCCCATAATCCTTCCAGCAACCCTCTGTTCTCTATATTTCAGTCTCTTATGTTGTTTTTAAATTTTGTGTTTAGTGTTATTTATTTTTGAGAGAGACAGAGACAGAGTGTGAGTGGGGGACGGACAGAGAGAGAGGGAGACACAGAATCCGAAGCAGGCTCCAGGCTCTGAGCTTATAGCAGGGCTCGAACCCACGAACCATGAGATGGTGACCTGAACCGAAGTCAGATGCTTAACCAACTGAGCCACCCAGGTGCCCCTAGAGTCTCTTATGTTTTGTCCCCTTCCCTGTTTTTATATTATTTTTGCTTCCCTTCCCTTATGTTCATCTGTTTTGTATCTTAAATTCCTCACAGGAGTGAAGTCATATGATATCTGTCTTTCTCTGACTGACTAATTTAGCTTAGCATAATACCCTCTGTTCCATTCACATAGTTGCAAATGGCAAGATTTCGTTCTTTTGATTGCCGCATAATACTCCATTGTATGTATATACCATATCTTCTTTATCCATTCATCCGTTGATGGACTTTTGGGCTCTTTCCATACTTTGGCTATTAGACATACTGAAAATTTTAAGAAAAATGTATTATTGTAAGAAGGTAGTAAATACAGACAGAAAATGTGTGTTAATAGACTATATTTCTGGTCAACAGTAGCCCATTATAGTTAAGTTTGGGGGGTCAGGAGTTACACGAAGATTTTTGGCTCCCTGGGGGTGGTGGCTGGTGCCCTAACCCCTGCATTGTTCAGCTGTACTTGCTGCCCATGTGTCCCGCCTAGATTGGGAGCAGCTCCAGACGAGCAAGGAGGGGCTGGCTTACTCCGCCCAGACTCAGTGTCGCCAGTTAAGGTCCGAGGCCTGGCATCATTTTTGTATTTTCACTGTGCCTGGCTTTCTTTCGTGGTGCTATTTCCCAGTCAGACTCTGCCTCCAGAATCCCTCAAAAGTTTCTGATGCTTGGAGAATTCTACTTGATTTTCTTCCAGGCACCTCTGATTCAACAGTAATCAAGTCTCCTTCCCACACCCCATCCACCACCTCTTTCTTCAGTAAGTGGCAGGAACATTCCTCCAATGCTTGGGGCCCAAACCTGGGCCTCATCTGGGCTCCCACTCAATCAAGCTTCATGTCTTGCGGACTCCAGCTTCTACCTATATTTCATTTGCCCAGTATTTCCATCCATGATTCTACCATGCTCATCCAGGATGCTTTTTCTTGCCTGGATTATTGCAACAACCACCTAGATAATTTTCCTTATTCATGTTTGTCCCTTAGAACCCATTTTCTACAAATGCTTAGAACATTGTTTTAGTACACACACACACACACACACACACACAGCTTGTGCCACTCTTGAGGCCTATTAATCCTTCAAGGGCTTCTCATGGCTCTCAGAAAACATTCAGAATCTGTGAGCTAGTCTGTGAATACAGTATGTGACCCTGTCTCCTTTCCAGGCAGTCTGGCTACTCTGTGTCTCCATCCCAGCCATATCTGACTTCTTACTCCCACCAAGAGCCCATCTCCATCTTCGGACACAGGCTGCTCCCTCTGGCAGGAACGCTCCCCCATCTTGTCACCCAGGCCACCTCCCGTGTCACTTGATTAAGGAAACCCACCACAACCTCTTGCATGGAGTTGGATATCCTGTCTGATACCCTGTACTTCTGGCTTAAAAAAAAAAATCTCTGTGGTGTTTTGTTTACTCGAGAAACACATGAGGATATTTTCACATACACGTCAAACACAGGGACCATCTGATTAACGTTTGTGTCCATCACTAGGCTGTTGGCTCCATGAAAGCATGGATGGGACCAGTCTTGTTTAAGCTGTGTCAGTATGGGGAGCCCCCATCCCAGGAGGTATTCCCTAAGTATTTGTCAGAGGAACAAGGTCTGCACTGCACCCGCTGGGGGCCCCAGGCTTGGTCACAAGCAGCAGTTTGGCTCTCTGCAAGGCTGTGGTTTCCCTGTGCTAAGAGTATACCTCTGTGAACACCAGGTGGACAGAAAGTGTGGACAGGTGACTGGACCTTATTGCTCACTTCCTGGTTTCTCTCCTGGTCCCGTGCTTGCTGAAACTGGCCCCTGGCACTTGA